GATGAATAAATAGAAAACAGAAAGTAAAAGTGTTTTCATCGACACAATTACTTCAGTAAATATTGCGTGGTAGCAGGATGAGTACTACAGAAGATGTGAATTATAGTAATTACCTGAACTTCAGATAGCAGTCATGAATAACTCAGTATTTATGTGTGAGGGCAGTCTGAAAGATCTGAAACATCAAAAAACCCCAGAAGTAAGAAAACTTATTTTGTAAATTATATTTAACAGATTGGGAAAAAGTGCAAATTTTACAGAAAGAACATTACTATAAATTCAGTTGGATCTGTTAGCCTATGTCAAAAATAAATTGCAGGAAGAGCATTCATGAATATTTGAAATAATGGAGCATGAGGCAAAGGTGCCCTGGGAGGCCGTCCTTCACTAACGGGGAGATGAGCTGGTGGACTTCATATTAGACAAGACAGATGTAAATTACATACCTATTTAAACAGTTTATTTTACTGTGCTTCTGTCACGTACTTACAGTTTTCTGGAAGAGCAGCTGTTGCTGGTGAGCAGACACTCAGCAACACCAACTCTGCCATAGGTCTGAGGGGTCCTGCTGTGCCCCACTCGCCTCATGCCCACAGCCTCCACTCTCATCTTCCCTGCATGAACTCACAGCCCCAACACACGGCTTTACCTTCCTGGTCACTGCTTTCTTCTGCCACAAATGGACCACCTCCTTTAAAGACATGAGTTTTGTGAAACCAGTGGATAAACTAACAGGTTACTGTGATTCCTGGGTACCTGGTTCCCAGGACAAACCTGTGCCTGAACATGTGCTAAGTGGCAGCTCATGATAGTGGGAATTTGCTCCAGTTGATGCTTTCTTCAGTCGAGCAGCTCTCTTAAGGAAAGGGATCTGTTTGCTGTGCTCATCAGCTGCTTTTGCAGCTGAATTTTTGCTGTATTTTGCAGCTTGAACCTTATTAAGCAGTATAGGGAGGTGTGAGCTGCATGTTTTAATATCCATCAGACCTGGGTTAAGCACCCGGGCAGCGACCTCTGAGTGGTACTCAGACCCCAGCATAGCTTTGGTGTAGCTTCATGTCTAGGAGTCCTGCTCAATAAGAGATATACAGTCTCCCTCTGTCTCTTCTGGGAGCTCCCAGACACCCCTTGGGGACCACCCTGGGTCCCAGTCTGAGGTGCTCAACTCCTTTATGGACTGCACAGGGCACACAGGTGGTCAATGTCAGCTTCCTAGGCTTGTTATGTTAGGATTATAGATGAAAACACCTAGTGTTTAGACATGTAAATCCTTTGTTAAATCTAGCCCGATACCTGTCAGACACTGATATTCTTCTGTGCTGCTTTATCTTGACAAGACAGGGGAAAACTGAGATTATATCCCCTCTCAGAGAGCAGTAGTTATAATCTATGTATGCCCGTTTCCCTCCCATGTTAATGTCTGTATGTATGATTGAAAATAGATATGGATCTATCACACATACCTCTATATGTCCATCCTGGCTCATCCTAAAAGGCTGCTGGAACATATTTTCCAGCAAATGTGCAAGCTCACACCATGGGGGTTTAGTGACTGGTAGGCATTCCCATGAAAGCAGCCCACAGCCTGCCTACAGTGCAGTTGTGTGAACTGAGAGCACATGGAAAAATAACTTGTCACACCTGCATCAAGTTTCAGAGCAGTATAGGCATTGCACGGAGTCATGCTTTTACTGTGTGATGACAAGAGTAGAATTCATCTTCTCTATACAGTCTTCCTTATAAAAGAACTAAAATCCATTAAAAGTACCAATACACAGCATACACTCCCATTTGTCTAAGAAGAAAACACAGTACAGGAGAGCTCACTGTGAACAAGATTGACTGTAAACTTCTGCGCCACAAAGATAAAAATTTTATAGCTCATTACAAAATATGCATGTGCAAGTTTCAGATGAACATACAGAGGAGTTTTTTTCTTAACATAAAGATCAGAAAATTAATTTGGCATGCAGGTAAGGTGCATTCTTAGTTAAAATCTCAAGATATATATTTTTTTTTTATTAGTCCATAAGAAATAACATAGAGCACAGTATCACACAGTGCTGAACTCACTAGACAAATAAACATGTTCAGCTCCTCTGTGTATCTACACCCTGCTAAAATGTTGAATGATGCAGTGGTCTTACTTTCAGCATTAGCTCAACACGATGTTTCATTGGTTTGTCCCCCCTCAACCTCCTCTGTGAAGGGTGCAGTAAAACTGGTCACACTGAGAAATAATTCCTTGCTGCCTGCACCCACACCAGACTCACCTGCAGCAGCTCAGATGCTGGGGAAGCACTCCATGATGTTGGTGCTGCAGTGGTCTGAGGCTCTCTGCAAACTGTTTCACAGTGAGGTGGAAGACAATTAATTTGCCCTTTCCCAGGCAAAAATGGTGGTAGCCCAGGAACGTGTTAAAGTTACCTGCCTGCAGCCTGGGGAGGGTGCTGCAACATTTCATTCATGTGGTGACAGGGGACAGATCCAGCTTGGAAGTGCATGTTCAGTGTAGGCATCAATCAAATTATTATTTCAGCAATGAGAGAAGACACAGGGCTCAAGACCCAGTGACAGTTTTTTTAGCTGTAGCTCTGCACGATGGGAGGTCAGCACAGTGTTTTGCATGGCTGATAAAGATTTTTAAGGGCAGATGAAAGCATGTCTAGCAGGTCAGCAGTTTTGAAGTCCTCCATGAGCAGGAAAGACAATGTGTTTCCCAAAACTCTTAGCAGCTTTTTTGTAAGGAGGTAGCACATGCCATAGAAATCAGTGCATAATTATTACCTGTCTCCCCAGCTACATCACATGGAAACATAAGGAGGAGACATTTGCCATCGTATAGGCTGTGATCAAGGGTTCAAGACATCTAAGTGGAAAGTGTACAACAGTTTTGTGCATCCAAGGCATCTGGAGACTTGGTATATTTAAATATGTTTGTGAATTGCTATGCTGTATAATGACCCTGAAATATCAGTCTGTGATGTCCTCGTGTCAAAGAATCATAAGTCTATTGACAGCCTGATAAGACACTGGTAAGGTGATTTCCTTCTTGTCATAACTGAACAGGGTAAATATAATAAAGGAAACTACATGTGAATGTGAGTTTCGAAGACCCAGACCAGAATAAATACATAGCTGGCTTTTGGTAAAGGAAAAGGTGGCTTACAGGAAGTACCACCTGAAGGAATTGTGAAAAGGCATTGCAGAGTGAGAAGCACCTGGCTTGTATCACCTGGTTCATCACACCAGCCACAGATTAGCTGGCACTGACTTGCTCTCTTACCTGCACATGAAGTGGTGCCACACTTCCTTGGTGCTGTGTAGGTGGCTGTAGCCAAGTGCTGAGAGAAAAGGACTATATCAAGTTTGGCAGGGTTTTCCTCTGAAATGAAGACTAGGCCAAATCACTCCTTACCTGAATGCCTTCCTTAGGAAGGGCAGCAGCTGGTCTTGCTCTGTTTTCACTTTGGCTATGATATAAGAGTGGCCCACCTTAGAAAAATTCTGTCTAATGATTATATTGTTTAATGAGATTTATTCTTGATGTTGACATTCTGAAAACAAAAGTAAGTATGGCAGATCCTTTGGGAACTGAAGAAACGGTAATGGTGGTGGGAACTTGACATAACTATGCTTGATCAGAATGTGTGGCAGCTTTGTACCAGCTGCTGTTTCCTTATAAATACTCTGATTTGTTGTAAATTAACTTCTGCCACCTTTGGATAAACACAGAGCAGAAAAATACAGTTCTGGTTGAGCAGCCATGAAACATCATATGAGCTATACTTCTGTGAGATATAATGTGGTGCAGCTCACACAGGTACAGCACAGGACAGGGTAAGGCAGGAAACCCAGTACTTTCAGGACTCCTGGCCAGTCGGAAATCAAAACTGTCTGCTCTAAGTTGAAGACACAAGGCTCAAGGGCCCTATTGAAAGTGCCTGTGAAGAGCTTTCTCCCTCCAGAGCTTCAGGGAAGGTCCACAGTAGGAAGAGCTGGAGCCTTCCTCATCCCAACAAATGTGAATCCCTCTTTCAGGGTTTGTGTAAATGACCTACAGCATCTAGACCCAAGCAATATATTAGAAAGTTTTATGGTATTGACTACAAAAGTCCTACAGCTTCCCCATACTGCAGTGAAATAGAGTCCACAGTAGGTAGGAAGAAACCTTCTTGTAGGCCATGGCAGAAAATTCTCATAATCATTTGTTGTTACCCATATGTAACCCACCTCATTGAATATCACCCAACAATTCCTGTAATAAACTCAGTGCAATAAAGGTTTGAGCCTGAGACATTTTTTTTGAATGGTCCCATGTCCTGATTTACTCACTGTGTGCAGTGGTGGTTTTACAACAAACCTAAGCAAGGTCTGGTTAATTACTCTATTGTTGAAAATATTCAGGAACATAATAAGTAACATTCCAAATAAGGTAACATTTATAGAGAAGTCAAGTTGTGGTCATGAATTTTGCCACACCCTGGAGAGAAGTAGTGGGTGTAATCTCTAAGAGAAAATCCATAGGCTAATTCTACGTCTTGTATTGGAGTTAGCAATATTTAGGCCTAAAATCTGTTGGTAACAAGCATCTCTGAATTTCAGATGTCTAAGTATATTTGGAAAAATTAGTATAGGTGTTTCTGCATAACTTTGAATACTGACCCTTTTGAAAAACAGTCAATAAAAATTGCTGGAAGAGAGAAGTGAATAACAGTAAAGGAATCAGAGTACAATTGAACGTTCAAACAAAGGAGATTTCTTGTAAGTCTATGTCCTTTTTTGTCATTATGCAATCTTGATTTTTTTTCACTTTATATAATAAATTCACTGATTATATCACATTGAAAGGTAGAAATTTTACCTTTTTCAAAAGACTATTAAAAATATCAAGGCAGTTGAATAATGTGTTAAAGACAGAAGGAAACCAAAATCCAAAGAAAGATGAAAACGTGTGATTAAGAAAGAAGTATATTTTCCCTTCTAACTTTTAACAGGGAGTTATGAACAGTTGTTGTGTTGTTTGTTGTTGTTTTTTGGTTTGTTTGGGTTTTTTTTTTTAAGATAAACAAATACAGGAGTCATTAATAAACTAACAATGTGTGTAAACCATTGGAAATTGTAGCATACAACAAATGCATCAGTTCAGTATGCACTCCAGAGATTACAGTGGCAAAGGAATGGTGCAGGAAGTTTCTGTTTCCTTCCATAAAATAGGTTTAAGATTACAAATTAATCTCAGAAGATATTATGAGTATCTCAAAGTGTTAATGAGTAACTTAAAACTGCCGGCTTCTCTTAATTGTCCAAAGGCCAGTTGATCCTGAAGTATATAAAATACCACTGCATGTAGATGAGAAGCACAGCTGAGACAGCCAACAAAGAGCAGACGGGAACCAAATGCTGTGTCTGCTGGGAAAGATGCCAAAAGGTGTTTTTACCTTTATTCGCCTTTTTGTGCTCTTACTCGGTTTCTCCACTATTTGTCTGGGAGTCCTTTGCGTTTCCACAAGTTTGCCCACATGCAGATGTGGAAATAACGAGCTGGTATTTTATTGCCTGCTAGCTTTGGGGTTCTTTCTACTTGTGACTGGCATTTTCTGGAGCACTTTCCATGAAATCTTGAAATACAGAGGCCTCAGCAGCATCTTCATTCAAAATTCCAGCTGTAGAGAGCTACATGTCAGCACCGTAGACAGGTATGTGTTGCAGACTGCTGGTGATGAATTTGGAGGGAGGGATGCTGTTTTGTAAACATACTGTGAGAAAAAAGAAGCAATATAAGGTTTTTACAAATCAAAAATTATTCAGCCACTTTACTATATTTCTGTGGAGAGAACTTGATTTTCTAGAGGAAGCAGCAATGTGCAAACAACAATTTGTGAAAAAAAAAAAAAAAATACATAAGGTAAGGGACACTGCAGGAAATGTGGCAGGTTGCACAAAGCCATGCATGGAGGGAGCAGGCGCAGCTACACCAGCTGCTTGGAGCTCTTGGAGCAGCATCATTAGTTCCATCTCAACAGACAACTCCAGATGTGCTGCTGTGGGATATGAGCTCATATTACTTGTTATCATTGAGGTGTGCAGGGAGCTTCATCTCCCAATATGGTCCCTGCTGAAGTTTTCTTGTGTAATTGTCCCCACTACTGTTGAGCAAAGTCTGATGCCTTGAGAGAGAGAGTTTCTTAAACTTATTGTCACTAGGCCTGACAAAAGTCTTTAACAGCATCGGTGGATACAAACTACTTTTCCTGGGCTGTTGTGGAAATCACCTGAGAAACACTAACAATGTGTGCTCTAAAAACACTATAAAAACAGCATTCAGCAAATTTTGGTTAGATAAGCAGAAACTTGCAAAACATATTTTAAAACTGTGGAAAAACAATTATTATTGTAATAATAAATAAGTCACTAACCTACTTCGGACTAACCTACTTTGGACAGTTATCTCTTTCTTCTTAAAAATCATATTTTTCTTGGGCATTTGTAGAAATATTCACAGCCATGAATGTTTGTATGCCATGAATAGGAATGCTCTTCTTTTTAGAATGCTTTGTTTTCATAAAATATTATTCAGAAAGACATGGGCAATGATCCCAGTAAGCCAGCTGGTTTAAATGAATATATTTAATTGATCTACACCTACTTAGTTTTCCATTTACAGTTTAAGCCTCATCTAAAATTTAGAAGTACAACAGACAAAGAATATAACCAAGCTCACTGAGATAAATCACACTTTGTCATGGTGTGTTAATTTTTGGTTTGCTTTTTTTCAGGCCTGACTTCTATCCCCCCTCCTATGAAGACAGCACAGATCCTGAAAAACACACCTCCCCACTGCTAGTTGCGTCCACACTAAAACAGCAAGAAGTTATCAATGTCCCTCCACCGCCATATACTGAAAGCAGCGCAGAGTTCATCAGTGAAACCAATGAGCAGGAACAGCCACCACCATATGAATTATCTGTGGGGCAACTACAGCAGCAGCAAACAGCTGTCCAAGACTCAAACCCTGCAGCGGATTTGAATTCTCATCCATCCACACAAGAAAACAGTTACCAACAGGCTACAGACTGTCAGGGGACCTCAGAAGAAGCAAACCCTGTTGTAACATCTGAGACAGGCAGTGGGTAAAATCCTGCACCTGTTAAGTGGGGAAAATTGGAAGAAGACATGTGTCAGTGATCCCTACTAGTACACCACTTAGGGTGAAACTACCCAGGAGAAGCACTGACCATTGTGTGGTTGAGTGGAGTTGGAGGGGATATATATAAAGATGCTCAGTATTTCAAAGCAGAATGAATCTCCATAGAGATAGAAACGATCAGCCTGTATCTTATAAAAGTCAACATCACTGGCAATAGGAGTTTCTTATGCTGCAAGATAAATGAAGCATCATGCTGTTATCAATCTTAAATGTTTATGCCTCAAAAGGAGTTCCAGCTGAAAGTGTCTTTGTCACATTAGCTGGTGGGAAACCTGTTAACTCTGCCTTTGTTGGGAATTTGTAAACTATTTGTTGTAACTGATAATTTTTGTATCATATGTCTCTCAAGATACTTGTTTCATTTTGGGGTCCTAATATCTGGTATTTTACTATTGAATTCATGAATAAATTTGATATTTAAAACAAATGCCTTCTATTTGCTTATACGACACAAGGTGTCCATGATTCAGGATAAGCACACAATACAATATACTTAATACACTTCCTAGCTGCTAAACAGACAACACTGCTTATGCCCGCTGGTCCCCAGAGGGAAATAGAAATTGCACAATGAAAAACCTTTTCCGACCCTTCTCAGTTGTCTCTACAAGCAGTTGCTTCCACTGCAGCTTACTTGAGACTGTGGGAACTAAAAAGGTGTCCTGTATCCTGTTTCTGATACACATGGCCTTATGGCTAGGGAACAAGTACTAGAAAGAGGAGAGGCTTGGACTCATCCTTCCTCTGTTACATATTTCCTTCCTTCCACCAAATCACTGAGCCAAATTTACACCCATGCTACTGTCATCTATAATTCCAGATGACAAGAAAAATTTCATGGAGTTTCACTCAGATTTGGACCTGCAACACTGACAATAGGTGGAGTTTTTCTTTTTCATAAAATCATAGAATAGTTTGGGTAGGAAGAGACATTTAAAGGTCATCCAGTCCAATCCTTCTGCAATGAGCAGAGGCATCTTCAACTAGATCAGGTTGCTCAGAGCCCCATCCAACCTGGCGTTGAATGATTCCAGGGATGGGTCATATACCACCTCTTGGGGCAACCTGTTCCTTTTTTTGTTGCAGAACCAGTAAGACAGAAAAGTCACACTTTCCAGATGCACACATACCCCAAGACAAAAACTTTAGCATTATGGCTACATAAACATTATAAATGCAAGCTATGATGGTGATGATAACAATGGCTAAGGTCAGGGAAGTGATGATTTTTTTTTTTTTTCTTCCAAAGAATGTCATCCTTTATGGGAAGAACCTATAAACTTTCAGTTGATGTAAAGAGAAAGGAAAGCAGGATGAAATGAGGTGGAGAAACTACAGAGAAAGGAAAATCAATTCAAGACAAGTCAAGGGAGAAAAATGTATTAAAACCATCACAGGCTAAAAAGGAGGCCCTGAAAAGGATACAAGGTGGTAGAAGATGCCACCAGAATATAAAGATTTTTCAAAGTGAGTAAGAAGTGGCATAGCAGAAAGGACAATAGTAAATATCAGAGGAACATTGAACGTTATTTCCAAAACAGCTAAAGCGAGGATCTCCTATGCCAAGTGACCTTGTTATGCTCTTGTCTGCTAACACAGCCATACCTGCATCCTGAAATCCTTTTTTCTTCACTCCAGGGGCCCAGATCTTGAAGGATGTGTGCACTGCCCAAGCACTGATGCAGGGATCAGTCATAGTAGATGAGGCCAGGATTAACCAGTAGATCTGTGGCAAAATGCTTGTACTGTTCAAATTCGATTTTTTTTTTTTTTTTAATGTGGAAATTTAACTTTTCCACTAGATAACTTTTAAAGCAAGACCACATGAGTGGGAAATCATTGAGACTACAGGTAGCTCTGACAGGAATAACTGCAGGAATACTACTGAAGGTTGCTCTTGGAGCAGTTTGCTACAGAAAACGACATTCAGATTCATTCCACATAGTTCGTGCACAATCAGGAGGAGGCAACCCTCTCTTTCTTTCCCCCAATTTCAAGGAGGTCCTGTAGGTCCAGGCTTCTGCAGATGTTGTGAGGTCTCAATGGATCAAAAAAATGTGAAACCAAAGATAACTACATCTTCAACCTGCAATATGAATGTATCTGAGACATGAAGGTTATTGAGGTAAAGAGAAAATTAAGATTAATACCTGATACTTTACTTGATACAATCTGTTTTTCAGTTTGTCTTTTCAACAAGTAAACTATTTGGCTGTGAGCTTAATGGAAAATGGCGTGGTCAGTTAGCTTAAAAGTTTCAACAATCTTAAAGCAGCAAAAACTTTTAAACGGTTTGCTTTTGATCAAACTTACTAGCAGAAAGTTATCTTTGTCAAGAATAGCAGCTGGAAGTTTTAGATTAAAAGGAATTTCCTTTTGACTGGAGAATATGAACAAATTGAACTAAGGCTTCAGAACAGAACAGGTTCTTTTAGTGTGTTGACAACAGCTTCCTGACACAGGTGACTGAGGAAACAACACAAAGGTGCATGGCTGTCCTGATACAATACCAGAAGAAATGAGTGGGCATGTGAAGGGCTTCACTGCACTGATAATGAGATGGTGGAGTTCTGAATCTTGAGCAGAGGGAAAAGGGCAAAAAATGCTACCAAATTTAGCCGAGCAGACTTTAATCTCTTCACTTGGAAGAACACCATGCGTTAAGGCCCTGGGAGAGAAGATGAGTCCAGGGCAGCTGTTTGATTTTCAAGGATCACTTCCTTCAAGCTCAGAAATGGCTTATCCTGACACACAACAGCAGGAGGCCTGAATGGATGTCCAGGGAGCTCCTGGCTAAACTCAGATATGAACAGGAAGTGTATGGTAAGTGGAAGCAGGGACAGGTGACCCAGGAGGAATATAGAGACACTGTCAAATCATGCAAGGATGAGATTAGGAAAGCCAAAACCCATCTGGAGTTGAATATGTTGAGGAATGTGAAGGGTAGCAAGAAAAACTTCTACAGGTACATTAGGTGAAAGAGGACATAGAAAAGGCTACGGTGCTCAGTGTTTTCATTGCTTACATCTTTATTGGTAAAACCAGTCTTCAGGAATCCCAGGCCCTTGAGACTAGAGGAAAATTTTGGAGCGAGGAAGACTTACTCTGGGTGGAGCAGGATCAGGTTAGTGAGCACTTAAACAAACTGGACATACACAAGTCCATGGGATGACTTGGGATGTATGCACAGTGTTGAAGAAGCTGATCCATGCCATTGCAAGGCCACTCTCCATCATCTTTGAAGGATTATGGTGACTGGGAGAGGTTCCTGAGGACTGGAAGAGAACAAACATCACTTCTGCCTTTAAGAGGAGGGTCTGGGGAGTTTCAGGCTGGTGTCCTGGGTTTGGGTGAATGGTGGGGGGTGTGGTAGCAGGGGAAGGGGCTACAGGGGTCACCCCCCTGTGAGAAGCTTCTCGAAGCTTCCCCGGCTCCAAGTCAGACCCAGCTCTGCACCAAGGCTGAGACAATTAGTGACAGTGACTGCACCTCTGCAAGAATATATTTAAGAAGGGACCTGGGAGAAGGAATTAGACTTGTGAGGAGGGGGTTGCAACATCTACATGAACACCAAAGTCAGTGGAAGAGGAGGAAAGGGGTGGGAGAGGTGCACCAGAGCAGAGACACCCCTATATCCTGTGGCAAGACAGCAGGGCCAATCTACCTTTCCACCTGAGGTCTATGATGGATCAGACACTGACATGAGGTCTGTGGGGGGACCCATGAGTCTCAGGTGATTACGTCTGAAGGAGGCCAGGACCCTGTGGGAAGAAGCCCCCACTACTGTAGTTCGGCACTGGGATGATTGCAATATGCGGGGGTGTCCCACGCCTGAACAGCTTGGGAAGGGCTGCAGCCTGTGGAAGGGACTCAAGTTGGGGAAAATTTCTGGATGACTGTCTCCTGTGAGATGAGAATCACACTGGAACAGGGGGAAGAAGTTCCAGAAGTTCCATCCCCCTCCAAGATGGAAGAAGTAGCAGCACTGACTGCACCCTCCATTCCCTGCCCCCTGCGGCACTGGGGGGGAGGAGGTAGAGATATCGGGAGCAGAGCTGAGCCAGGGAAGAAGGGAAGGCTGGGGGGAAGTGTTTTCAAGATGTGGTAATGTTTCTCACTGTCTTACTCTGTTAAGTGTTGTTGTTGTTAGTGTCTGTATTAAATTTATGTTCCTTTTTATTTCCCCTAATGAGTCTGCCTTTTGCTCGTGACCATAATAGGCGATTAGTCCCTCCCTGACCTTATCTTGAATCCTGAGTCTTTGTTTATTTTCTCTTTCCCAGCACTGCGAGGGGAAGGGGGAATGAGCAGCTATGTGGTTCTCAGTTGCCCTGTGAGCTCAGACCATGACAGCTGGTCAGCCTCACCTCAGTCCCTGGGGAAGCCATGGAACAACTAATCCTGGAAACCCTTGCCAAACACATGAAGGACAAGAAGGTGAGTGGGAGTAGTCAGCATGGATATATGAAGGGGAAATGATGCTTAACCAACATGATGACATTCTGAAGTAAGATGACTGGCTTGGTGGATGAGGGGAGAGCAGTGGATATTGCTTTTCTCATCTTTAGTAAGGCTTGTGATACAATCTCCCATAACATCCTCATAGACAAGCTGACAAAATACGTTTTAGATAAGTGGACATTGAGTTGGATTGAAAATCAACTGTATAGACAGGCCCAGAAGGTTGTGATCACTGCCACAAAGTCCATCTGGAGGCCAGTGACCAGCAGTGTGCCCCAGGGGTCAATATTGGAGCCAATACTGTTTAACATCTTCTCTAACAATAGGGGTGATGGGACAGAATGCACCCTCAACAGTTTTGCAGGTGATACAGCACTGCAAGGAGCAGTTGACACACCAGAGGGTTTTCTGTCATTCAGAGGGACCTGGATGGGCTGGAGAAATGAGCTGACAGGAACCTCATGAAGATCAGCAAAGGGAATGCAAAGTCCTGCCCTTGGGGAGGAATAAACACAGGCACCAATACATGCTGGGGCCAGTAGGCTGGAAAGCAGCTCCTCAGAGGAGGACCTGGGGATCACATGCTGGACAAGAAGTTGAATACTCACCAGCAAGTCACCTGCACTGCAAAGAAGGCCAATGGCATCCTGGGCTGCATTAGGAAAAGCATCACCAGCAGATCAAGGGAGGTGATCCTTCCCCTCTGGGTCAGCACTGCTGAGATGCA